AGAGGCAACCACTTGTTTTTAAATGTCTTAAAAGCTCACGTGTATATGAGGTATATGCATGTATATATACACAGAGACACTTGAACATACATAGTCATAGATATATGAGGAACTTGCTATTTTTTAGTAGTGTTTATAACGAGCAGTGTTCCTGACGTTAAGTGCGTCTAGACTGACTTCTAATAATCCAACAACAGTATCAGCTCTGCTTCACAGAATCTATTCCTGAGGAATAACTCATGGGCTGTTAAAGATATTTCCAGGCCTATGGCAGACAGGGGTCCAGAACTAGCATCCAAGTGATGCCACAGAACTGCTCATTCATCAAGGCATGGCCTGTTTTCAAGTGTCAGAGTGTAGAGTGCTTTACTCACTCCAAAGTCACTCTAGACAATACCTGCGAATATGTACAAGACCAACGTATTTCCCAGTGATGGAGGGGAGGAGGTGAAACCTGACAGTGTGGGCTCTTCCAGTAACACACTCCCTTCCTCCCTTCCTTCTTTCTTATTCCCTCTAGCCCTCTCTTCTCAACTATAAACACAGTCCTGTTGGCTCCACTAGCTGTTGGTGAACTTGCCAGCTTTCCTGGATGGCTCCTCGCAGGATGCTGGGCGTCTCCTCCATCACCCTGACAAGGAGGTTGTCAATGTAGTCCTCTAGCTCTCGGATGTGGGTGTCTTTCCTCCGAAGAAGTTCTTTGTGCTTCACCAGCTCCTGTAGCACCTCTTCATAGGTCAGACTCCGGTACCCAGCCGTGGCATCAAAAGGATTGTTGTCCTGGAATGAAATACAGACCTGCTTTAGCAAGCAGGACACAGTGACAGACATTAAGAGTCAGAATTTCATCTTCTGGTTTTTCTGAGGCTGATGAAGTTTCTCTCCAGCCATAGTTAGAAACAGGGTTCCAGTTCCCAGGTGCAGCTAGTGCCAAGCAGGAAGGAAGGAAGACAGGTTAAAAGCCTCACCTGAAATTCATTCTTATACTGGGAACAACTTCTTAGTCCCAGAGACTGCCCATACTAGTGTGGCCTTAACTACAACATGAGTGTTGAGGGTGTGGCTCTGTGGCAGAGCACTTGCTTGGCATGCAGAGGTCCCTAGGTTCCATCTCCAGCATGCTAGAGGGAGTGGATAGGATATGCTCTATAATTTCAAACTATAGTTAGCCAATGTAATGAAAACAGGTTAAAAGTAGACATCTAGCCAAAGTACTGTCAAGAAGCTAGAGAAACTTCACAAATAGACACCACACATATAGACACTGTACACATAGACATTGTACATATAGACACCATACATACAGACATCACATATACAAAGTACACAGACACCACACACATATACACACTGTGCATATAGACACTGTACATATAGACACCACACATAGACACTGCACATATAAACATAGACAACATAGAAACTGTACATATAGACACTGTACACATAGACATTGTACATATAGACACCATACATATAGACATCACACATACAATGTACACAGACACCACACATATACACACTGTGTGTATAGACACCAAACACATAGACATTGTACATATAGACACCATACATATAGACATCACACATACAATGTACACAGACACCACACATATACACACTGTGCATTAGACACTGTACATATAGACACCACACATATAGACATCACATATACAATGTACATAGATACCACACATATAGACACTGTGCATATAGACACCAAACATATGGACACCACACATAGACACTGCACATATAAACATAGACAACATAGAAACTGTACATATAGACACTGTACACATAGACATTGTACATATAGACACCATACACATAGACATCACACATACAATGTACACAGACACCAAACATATAGACACTGTGCATATAGACACCAAACATATAGACACTGTACATACAGACACCACATAAAGACACTGTATATATAAACATAGACACCAAACATATAGACACTGTACATACAAATACCACACATATAGACACCACACATATGGATCCCCCAAATGCAGACACTATACATATCAACATACACACCACACATATAGACACTCTACAGGCACCACACATATAGGCACCGTACATATAGACACCAAACATACAGACACTGTAACACAGACACTGTGCTCACAGAATCACTCCACTAAATTCAGATTCACACTTCTGCCTGGGGTTTTTATTGATGACAGCTATGAGAAACAGAAATACCAGTCTGCTTCTCTAATTTATTGAAAAATGACAGAGGCACCTGGAACTAAACCAATGACCATGATCCACGGTTATAACTTCTGTCTTAGCTGACCAGCACGGTGAGATTCTCTCCCTAAGTAACAGATGCTTCCAGTTCCCATAAACAACAGTTGGATACTGTTTCTATTTTCCGCCCTGTTGTCAGGAAGCTTGGAGCTCAGCTACAGCCATATGAATACAGTCAAGACAGCTATGTGCCCTCTCATCTCACTCATTTACTTAGCTAATGATATCCTAGTGTCCAAAAGTAAAATCTAGCAAAAGCATAGATACAACCATAAGAGTGTCTTGCCTTAACTTTTTTTATTCTAACAGTGTTGTGACACCAAAATCTAAAGAAAACAACTTGTGAGGGTGAAGATGGGCCCTGTAACACTCCCTTGATAGCAATGCCCTGGAATTTAGATCTCCACCATGTAATGTCTAGATACAAACAGCAGATTCGATGCCTTGAAAACACAGTTCTGCTCATAAACTCAACAATTTGGGATGATCTGTATCACTGTTAGTCAAAACACTTCCATTTGCTTTAAGAAAATAACTAAAATACTAAGGAAACTAGTTTTCTGTTCCGAAGGCAGGACTCAAGAGTCTGTCCAGTGGAGGATGGGTGAGGCCTGGGGAATATGGAAAGACTTTTGTTCCCACAGAAATTACATGTCTCTCCCACCTTCAGTACCCTCCCTCTTTCACTGTGATGCGTCTGGGACTTTTCCATTAACGCCAAGGCCAGTTCTTCACCATATGCTCCCCCTTCTCACCCCTAGGGAGAAGC